AATTTCAGCCAATGATCTGAGTGAGCTTGGAGGTGGACGCTTCCCCAGTTGACTCTCCAGATGAACACTCAGCTCTGCCCAACACCTTGACCGAAAACTTGCAGAGGACCCAGCAAGGCTATGCCTGGGCTCCTGTGCGCAGAGACCATGAGATAATAAATGTGTGTTGTTTCGAGCCAGTGAGTTTGTGACAATTTATTACACAGCAGTGGAAAACTAACACAGAAGTGCCCTTTCCTCCTCTCCACGTTGATTTTGGGCTCCTTTCCTCAGCTCTTCCTTGCCCATCACTATTCTCAAAACTCTACAACAGGCTGATCTCACGGCTAATGAACCTTCTTTTCTTCAGCCAGTTCCAGTGTCCCCATTAATAATTACTCAACAGATGTTGAAACTCATTTCGATTACTTCAAAGGAACACACCCAGGATTTAAGTTTTACATTTCAGTTTAATTGTAGCTCTATAATATTTAGAAAGCTGGTGAAACTTATGAAAGCCACAGAGCATACGTTACACGCGAACCTGCACTTCCAAAATCTGTCAAGCCTTGATCAAACCCCAACCATTTACCAAGGCAACAGCGCGGAGGTCATGGCACAGTCATTTCATTGCTCTTATTTTTTTCTTGCATAAATCTTACCTTTATAAAAGGTATAAGACTGGCAAGTCTTTTTTTTTTTTTTCATGCTCTCTTCCCTGGGTCCCAGTATCTGAACTAGGAACACATCTCCAGTGAAAGGAACAGAAAGTAATTTCTAAGTATATTTAGTGTATGAATGCAAATAAGCATTAACTAATGGCTCTAAGACTGACTACTGTCATTAGGAGTATTAGATGAAGCTGTCCTGACCGTAAGTCAGTCAGAAGGGAGATGAGTCAATGCTCAACATAGCAGAGCAAAGGCTGCCCGCTGTCTGCTCCTCTGCACAGCTGCTCTGTCTTTCCAGGCTCAGGTGTTCAGAAACACCTTCCTGCTCATCTTCTAAAATCCAAGACTGTGGGACATGCCAGCTTCCAGTTAAAAGCGTTCACATATTTTTTTTCTTTAAATCTCACCAAATAAGACGTATTAACAGTGGTTGGCTTTGGAGGGTTGTATAGTAGAACACACAGTCACTTAACACTATTGTATATTTCTCTTCACTAAAAAAGTAACCTCTTTCTAAAAAAAAAAAAAAAAAAAAAGAACTTATGAAATAAAAGCATTAAAGAAGGTTCTTGTTGCTGTTACTGTTAATCCTCACCCAAGGGTATTTTTCCCATTGATTTTGAGAGAGTGTGAAAGGAGAAGGAGAGAGGGAGAGAGGGAGAGAGGGAGAGAGGGAGGGAAAAACACATCAACTAAAGAAGTTTTAATCCACCCGAGCGCACCACTAAGACATGATAATGCTATCTCTCCAGTTGATTTTCTATCCCGTTTTTATTATTTTCATAATCAGAAGGAAAATATTTTAAGTAGAATTCACATCTCAGTTAAAACTGAACATTCTGTATAACATCCCACGTGAGAAAAGAATCCTGGTGGCCTTGTCTGGCTCTGGTGCTGAGCTATGCATCTGACCTCGGGTAAGCAGATTAACGTGTCTGATTTGCTGTTCAAATGGGGAAGCAGCTGACCTCAAGCACAAAGGGTCTTTCCTCCTGACTCGAACAGTCTATGGTTACGAGACATGAGGTTTCGAAACTTTCCATAGGTCATTCTGGACTTATGACTGGCCGCCTGGGTTTTCTGTCTCTCCGAATTCCCACATCAAAACCAACAGAGCACCTCCCCAGCAGAGCCAACCACCTGGAAACAAGGTGTCCCCTTCAGTAACAAATCACAAGCAGGTAGAGACAAACCACCAGCATCCTCAAGGCAGGGGTGATGTCTGTGTGGGCAGAGGAGCACCAAGGATACAGGCCCGAGGGCGGGAAAAGCCCAAAATAACCAAGTGTACACAGGAAACTGGAGAGCAGCCGCCAAACCCAGGAGGGGCTTTCACCTGAGCCTAGAGTGTGTGAGCGAGGGGCCACGGGAAGATCGGAGGGGTTAAAGCAGCCGAACTCCATGAACTTTCAAGACTGATCCTGGGGCTCCTCTCCAGGAGGAAAAACTGCTGGGAGTGGTCAACACTGAACAGAATGGGGCCATGGAGACCAAGGAAAGAACAGACCCAGGGGGAGGCGGGGAGGGGAACAGAGCCGGAGGGTCACGGAGCAGACTGCCACACTGGGACCAACCGACAACAGCAGAAGACTCAGCTCTATGAACTTAAAAAAAAAAAAAAAAAAAAAAAAAGCCATCTTAAACTCTGCCTCCTAAAAGTTCAAGGAAACTATTTTTCACATAAAAATGAAACACAAAAGTATTGAGGTCAAATTCCATAAAAAGGTTATAAGAAAGAAGAAGAAGAAAAGAGCAGAATGGCATCCCTCCATATCATGAAAGCATGCCACCAAATAGACGAGAGGGGGAGAAAAGCCCCCAACAATAGCTTACTATTTCAAAATAAGTTAGAAGGCTTTCAGGAAATAAAATGACATCAGACACGAGAGAACATAATTCAGAATCGGAGAAACTCAGAAGGTAATAGAGCACAGGAAAACACAGAAACAAGAGAAAATGCATTTCAGAAACGAAGACTGAACCAGGAGGTCCACAGGGAATAAACAGGACAGAGAATACTCCGAGAGAAACGGAAGGCAGAGGACAGGAAGAACAAAGTACGACGACAGCGAGAAAGGCTTTGGAATAGTGACAGACACTGAAGGCATGCAAAGAAAATCTCACGTACAATCATGAGCATCCTTGAAGAAAAAACAAAGCAAGGGAACTGAACTCATATTAAACACTAGCATTTAAAAAAGCAACCACCACCTTACCTAAAATTAAAAACATTAATTTTAAAATATAATCAAAACAATGCACAGCCAACCTGAGAATATCAAAGCAGAATGACTAAGATTAAGAGTTGCTTTAGTAAAATTCCTGGACTTGAAAAAAAAAAAAAAGGGTGGGGGACACAGAAATGCTATGGATGTCTAGAATAAGTGTCTTGTGTGGGAAAGAAAGTCGTATTATTATTACACTTTGAGAGCAATGCTCTCTGCCAAAGAGAATAAAAAAACATTCAAATAAAGAAAAGATGAGCCAAGGGCTTTATATCCAGCAAAAATGCCTTTCAAGTATGAAGGACACAGACACACTGTTATTAACAAGCAAGGACTTGGAGAAGATTATTTCAATGAGTCCTCCCTCAGGAATCTAAAAACAGGGCTCACATTGACCTAGGACCCTGGTCAACATTAAACATATAGTTACTTGTTGAAGACCAAAGAGAAGAGAGTATAAGTTGCAATAGCCATCGGCAGGCAGTGTGGATATAGTACAACTGCAAAAAATTGAGGAAATGAGGAGAGCATAATGAAAAATAAATTTTTAAATTTTTTTTCAGTTATTATACTTGTTATAGTAGTGTTATTATTATCCTGAGCCTGTTTGTACATAATATGGAATAAAACATGAGTAATTATGGAATATTCTAATTCAATCATCCTCTGTAATGGTTAAGAACCAGGATTCTTAGTATGAGAAGAAAGCAGATGAAACACAGAGGTTCAGTAAAAGTACGCTGTAGTCTCTGGGTGACTCAGCAAGGATGATATTAAGGGCTGGTAAGAGGCTGCCTGATTCTCAGCATGAGAGGCAAGGGTAAGGCAGAACCGAATCAGCTTTTATTTTTGGAAAATATGAAAGTTGAATATTTAAGTTTTTGCAATTTAAATAGGAGCAATTAATATAACTCCTATGGTATTTTATCTTAAAATTTATACATACATATATAGATAGGTAAAGAAACAAACATGTAATTTCTTGGCTGTCTATAAAAACAATGACCAACCGAGAAGCAATAAGCACCATTAGCACCCAGAGTGTGGTTTTGAAATACCATTGTTTTTGCTGAGTGAAACCAAGTCCACTTGGAGAATGATTCATTCCAGGTTTGGGGAAAAACATTTACTAGGTGAGCCTGCAAGAACTATTAGGCTCATGTCAAAAGATTCACAGCCAATTTGAAGAGGTTCTTACTGGCCAAAGATACTTCAATGTGAGTTTCTACAAGGAAAATAATTACAATGAATTGAAACTCAAATATGTTGAAATCCATAAAGTCATGAAAAATAAGTGGATACTTTCAGAAAATCATAAGCAATTCATTATCTTTAAAAATGCTACATAAATAAAAAAGAATGAAGCATTTATTCTGCTTTTCTTCTATGAGCTCGACCATTGTTTCAACAAATCCTAAATAACGAATGCTATGGCTTGAAAGCAATTAATAACTAGTAAAGACTAAATAACCAAAAAAGAAATGGTAGAATTAGAATCTCATGACCTGTAAGTCCTAATGAATCAAGGCACGTAGGCGCTGAGTGTCAATAGCTGCTAACATCACAGACAGTGAGACAACCGGACATGCCGTGCTGCCCAGTGAAAAACAAATACCTTCAAAGTCATGCCAAAGGGTCTGGACATGAATCTGATTGCGCCTCTGGATCCACAGGCTGCTGTGGAGGAAATACGGGCAGAGGAACGTGTGAACGTGTGTCTGCACCATGAGCATGCAATCAGCAACATCCAGACTAGGGGGACCACAGGTCCAGTGGCCAGGTTTTAACAGATTAATTATAAAGCAAATGAAGAACAGAGGAAAAAAACCTGTCGATTAAGAGACTCGAAGAAACCAGTTTTTAAATGGGCAAGACTCCACTCTACTGTGAGACTTCAGTGGGAAACTGTAAAGAAACAGGAAATGCGACTCTAAAAGTCATGGGAGGTTCCCTCTGTGGGAGGGAAAGTGGGACAGGGATGACTGAGGGTCTGGTTCTTATCTGGACAGTGGTTATCAGTCCGTTTGCTCATTAGACTATAATTTGTTTTGTGGGAATGTCTACATCTAAGTTTTATCTCACGATAAAAAAAAAAAATACTGAAAAGTCTTTCCAGATCCCTTACCTGAGCCTTGGCTAATTTCTTTTCCAGAAGGTCCCGTTCCCGCTCCGTTTGCTGCAGACGTTTATTGAGTTCCACTATATCTCCCTTGAGCGATGCCAGGGCCGCCAAGTGGAGCTGCGGCAACAGGAAGAGAGGAGCACAAGGTTAGACCCTTCTGCAGAAACTCATTTCCTTCCTTCCAGTCCCTGTAATTAGTGTGATCATACAAACATGTTTCATCTCCAACAGGACGCTCTGGGTGCTATCCATCTCAGGGGACAACGGACATAAATCAGGTGTCTCACAGGAAGCCAGGTTGTACGCTCACCCTAAATGTAACAGGAGAAAACTGCTGTGTGTGGGTGGAGAGACCTAATTTTTGGATGGTCAAACCAGGACAGAGAGCCAAGCTCCTCATTCGAAGGCTTCCCCCGAGCTCCTCAGCAAGGAGAAGGCAGGCCAGAATTAGCTTTTACCTTGAGAAAAATGTGACCGTTGAATAGGGCGATTCAATTTTTGGCAGTTTGATCACCCACTTTGCTGGGTGGACAACACACAGACCAAGGGGCTGAGTTTTTAAAAAATTTAATTTTTTTCCCATCCCCATTTATTGCCTCCGGGGCTGAGTTTTAGGAAAAAATGGGAGAGCTCATTTCTGCAGACGGTCTCCTCTCAAAGCTGGCCTGTTCACGTTCATGCCTGCTCATGCTTCCTCGCCGTCCCAGATGCTTCTGACTAGCAGGCCCTCCCAGAGGAGCAGAAACCAGACTCGGACACATGATGCGGCGAAAAGACCAACTGAGAATCCATCCGGATATCCTTCCCTGGCTGATTCTGTCGGGTTAACTGGAGCTAGAATGTTCTTCACCAGATTAACGAGGGGTACCGCACCCTTCCAGGACCTCAAGTGCCCAACTTTCAGGTTCCAAACACGGAGCTTGAGCATCACATGCAACCACCACACACGTGCGCCTGGGGCGTCTGGAGCCATGGGGGGACCATCTCTAAGATGCATTTAAAATGCTAACCCCAGAGCAACCCCACCTTCAACCTCTGCTCTGAGTCACGGCTTCTCATCTGTCTCCACTGTCAGGCCCTGCTGGCACTTGGACCACTCCCTAGGTGAGCTCCACATACATTTGGGAGACTGACTAGAATCAACAAGCCCTCCCTCTGTAGAGGTTTTTTTGTAGCTTCTGCCAAGAGAGATTTAAAGTAAGGAGTGAGCAAACAAATGTGAACTTTAAAAATGGACACAGTACAACAGTACATAATTCAGCTCTGAAGATTTTCATTTCAGGTTCAGAAAAATGCCCTTCCCTGCAACCAGCCCCGTCCACACTGCATGCTGTCGGTGTAGGCTTGGGGGAGGGGAGTGTCGTGAGGGAGGGAAAAGAAGACAGGGCAGAGACTGGGACTTCAAAGCGGTTGTGTATGTTAGACTATAACAGCAATGAAAGCGACTTCACTTAATTGCACGGGGCTGCAAACCAACAGATCAATAGCTGACGTGAAATCAGGAATGCCTGAAATTTTAAAAGAGGAAATGTCAAGCAAGCTGGTGGTATTTGCCTTCTCATGGAGGGCTGGGGCCGCTCGGAAAAGGTCACTCTGGGTTTCAGATACAAGGTTCTGTCTGATGAATTCTCAGCACAAATACCACCGTATTCCCATTCTACAATCTTTCGGAGGCTGTTTTGCTTCCAGATGGTGGAGAGGGACACATCACTCCCTCGGCAGCTGGGGTGACCCTCCGCCTATGAACTGTCAATCTGAGGATTTTCCTTCAGCGTCAGACACAGTGTCCTGCTACACTGCTATGGCAAGTCTCGGGAGAGGATTCTCCACCTCTCTTCTGGCGAGAAGGGTGAAATACATGGAGAGCTGAAATGTTCCTTCAGAAACAAAGGAGTGGGAACAAGGACCCTGTGTCAGCCTGTTTCCTCCCTTCCATCATCTCCCCTCCCCCTTCTTAGGGAAGGGGTTGAGGAACAATTTGGGGGGAAGCTGCCAGAGGAGGCTGTCGACTGCCCACTGCCTGCCTGAACTGGGCCAGAGGGGGACACTCGGGTAGTCACTTCCATCATAGCGCACGGCAGAGGGGTCCAGGACGGGTCACTGCCGTGGAGGATGTGCTGGGCTCGGAGCTGATGACACCTTCTGGCTGACTTGCTCTCCAGACTGGCAGGAAGATCCACGGGACTTGTGTTCGGGGCAGGTCCCTTCACTTCCCTGAAAGAAGCCTCTCCATCAAGTAAGGGTAGGTCGGTTGCTCTTAACCTTCCTCGGGTCACAGATCCCTTAAGGATCTCATAAATGTGGTGGACGCTTCTCCTGCAGAAGACTATACATTTGGGGTTCATGCATCTATTCCACCTAATTATGGTAGCACACTCTGGAATCTATCCATGAACCCCAAATTAAGAAACATCCGGACTCGATGCCAGCTCCGTGATCCCGCATGAGTTTTGTAGACTGTCTCATGTCATAGCACAGGTGACGTTTGAGTGAGGGAAAGACCAAGGCCCGTGACATTTGCAGGTGCCTATCCGAAACCCAGAGATTAACTTGCTGACTCAAGGTCCCATGGATAACTTCACACCTGAACGAGGCCACCAGTGCCCTCTCCTCACTAGACGATGCTGTACGTGGCAGCAATGTTCAGGTTTTTAAAATGTGAATAAAATTTTTACTTAAAGCATTTCCCTCTATTAAAAAAGTGAACATGTAATAGAAAAATAAACTGGAAAGATAGCATTCTAAAGTTTAGTGGTGGCCTCTGGGTGGTTTCAAACTATTTTTGGATACTTAAGTTTTTTTAAATAGAGAAAGAGGCTTTTGTATGGGAAAAAAAGAGTTGTGATTGCATTTTCTGCACATGTGAGCTACAGCATAAACATTGAAAAGGGTTCTTTTCCTTCCTTGTTGCATCTTTCTTCCCATCTACCTGCCTTTCTGATAGAAGATAAAACTTTAAAAATGAGGTGGAACATACAAGTCCCTTAATGTTACTGACAATTACTCGGCAGAATCTATGAACTACAGAGAGTGGGAGGGAGTGGGGAAAAGTCTGCCCACAATTCACAAGATGTGCTGCTTGGGCTGGAGCGGACAGGCCCTCCCTCAGCACCTGATGACCGAGCACAGAGGAGTTCAGTGCCGCCGCAGGCCTGCTCCACACTCCCGGTGAATTTCAGCTCAGCAGCACTCCCTGTCCCGCCCTGTTAATAACAGCAATCCAAAGCTGAGGAGCCCTCCCTTCTTTTAGGGTCTCATCCCCTTATTCTGCCAGAGCGGGTGGCTTCTCTGCAAATTCATAAGCTAGTGAGACGGTGGGCGGTGCTACATGTAGTATGACGGAACCTGGGTAGTGTCAAGACGGGCATTAAAAAGTCAGTGTAGAGGTCTTTCTGGGTAATTTTTAAAAGAAGCAACAGTCGATTGAAATCTCAGAAAGAGAAATTTACCAAAACAACCAAAATGGACAAATATCTTTTATAGGAAAATTACATATATCTCATTTTAGGGGATCTTTTTACTTATATTCTGGTTTCGGAAACAGCCTCCAACTTGAGTCAGAGCTTCAGACATATGAGCTATGAAGCGCCATTAAAGGAAGACGTTTCAGTGACCAAAGAGGAAGAAAATATATGTTGTTTGGAGTCTGTGCTAGTCTCTTCCCCAACACATTTCTCTCTTCATGCTCAGGAACCAGACCTTCACATTTAGCTGTTCATACCGCAGCACAGTGAAAACGTCCCGGGTCTCAGCCTCCCTGCAGCTGGATCTAGATGTAGCCATGAGCCAAAGTCCTGGCCATGAGATGTGAGCAGAACTATTATGTGGGAGTTCTGGGAGAATCTTTCTGAAAGCGGTCCTGCCCTTTTTCTCGCCCTCCACTCTTTTGCTTGATACATTGTGATGGATGGAGCTCCAGCAGCCATTGTGTTTCATAAAGACGAAGTTCACCTTCTAGGGAGCGGAAAGCTGCCTGACTCCCTGATAGTTCTGTAGAGGCCCCCCCACCCCATCACCTTGGGACTACCTAACTCCAGACTTCTGTAACAGGATGGTAAGAAAGAGACCTCTGTTGTCTAGACCACCATTCTGTTGAGGTACTCTGGCAAACGAAGTTGACTTAATCCTAATTTATAAAGAATCAGATAAACCTGGAATCAAATCTCATTTATGCCACTTACTGATGGAATGTCTTTGGACAGTTTACTTAATCACTTTGTTACAGGGCCGCCACGAAGACAAAATGAGACCGCACCCAGCACCGTGTCGGGAAGCAAGCGAGTGTTCTTTTCCAGCCAAGGTTGAAGTCAACCACCTTCTCAGATTAAGCCCCACCAAGGGAGTGAGAGGAACATTCAGATGACTAGTCACGCAGTCCTGGTGGGCATCACGCTGGACTGAGAGGCCATCGCTGCTTTGCCAGATTCTATGCAAGTCCTAAGGCTTATTTTTACGATGACTGGCAAGGCTCTTAATTGTCTGTGAAATTTTAATCTGAGGCCTAACCAAGGTTGAGATGAGACCTTGCCACGTCCTATGCAAATCTGGGTGTAGCACATGAAGGATATAAATCTGTACAGACCTCATGTCTAGAGATAAAAGGCACAAAATTGCCTAGGCTGTTTTCAGCCCTGCTTCCCATTCATTTTACAGTGTGTATCCAAACGAAACTAAACCACCTGGAAATTGGGCTGCAAGATAACTGTCAAAATGGTCATTATTTCTGAATGAAGCATCGCTTGTCTAATATTTCACTGTTCAGCTGGCTGTTGGAATGAGCTCATTTAGCCTCTGACAGAGAAAGCGTCCGGCTGCCTGGGGCCAGGGGAGAAGCTAGCAGTGCCTTTGGGACAGCCTCTCTCATTGTCCCTCCTGGGCTGAGTGCACGGATGTCTTTCCTGTTACACATGAGCCGCGAGACAGAGGGCTCTGCACTTCTTACGATGCCCTTGTCCGCCAGCAGCTCGGTGACGGGTGAGCCCGGAGCATCGCGGTGTGTTTCGGTGAGAAGGTGCTCCTCCACCTCGCTCTCCTGCACTGAGAACAGCAACACGGGCCCCGCCGTCCTGCTCACTCGGCCCTCTCCCGGGCACCACCCCCGGATCTCCTCCATCACC